GATCTTCTGCTCTGTAGGACAAGTGAAACATGCAGAAACGCCTTCTATGCAATCATGCTCGGATGAACGGCTAACTGTAAGCGGGGGCCAAGACAGTCGCGAGGCTATTGAGAGGGCATGAGCCATTGAAAAGACCCGGAAAAGGAAAAGTATACATTGCAAGCCAAAGAATCTTCTGTTTAGATGCTGTGAGATCTTGTGCTTCGTCTGAGGAAGTGAGCAACGCCGAGTGGTAGCTGGGATGAATGCAAGAGACGTAAAGTTGATTGCAGCAGCCGGTCAGGTCAATCCTTCTTTGACCGGGGTACCGCAGTTTGGCTGCGTGACGCAGCCCCAGTTATGCGGAAAGACTTTTCACAATTCAATTACTAAAATGAATTGATTTTTTTGGTAGCCCAACTCTTGGCTGCCAAGCTGCTTGCCAGACGTGAGGATAGGGCAGAGGACGCCACGCATGCACACAGCCTCGCGCATGAACGCAATCAGAACAGACGTCTCAGGGCAACATGTGTAACACAAATGCTTTGATTCGATCAACAGGATCTTGATATCCGGCTTGGCGGGCGGCAGTTGTTTCCAACTCGTGTTGCGACATCAAGCTCTCATAGCTTGTCATAGACGCCACTTGTTTTTCCGCCAAGCTGAAAACTGACCCCTGCTGCAGATTTTGTTGGAGCGGCAGCAGCAGCAGTGCGACTCGGGTTTTCCGGCCAGTTCAGTATTACTCCTCCGCGTTTGTAAAACATTGGAGGCTGCAGCCAATCTGTTGAGTTGAATCACCAGATTTGGTCTGCTGCGGCCGGCATCTCCGTCATGTCATAGACAGCTTATTGAGACTGAAAATGGACAACAATTTCATGATCCATCCGGTATGAGTATGGCTGCACCAAATCACTTGTTGGAAAGGCAAAGGTTCACTCGACTTGGACATGCCACATATCCGCAACAGTTGACGGGACCGCGCAATTTGCTCTTGATGTCCCTTTTCGCGGCGATCTGCAAGCTTAGTTGACGCTATTCGGTTGGCTACCCGGACGGCCAGAAGACTCTTTCGTCACAAACAGGCGACATCAAGGTGGAGAGAGGGTGCAAAAAAAACCACAACAAGAAGGTATTATCATGAGAAAACATGCAAAATGTATTTTTGGAGCTAACATACCTGGAAGGGTAGCTGGGCCGCTTCTCGCAACCTCAACGGGCTATTCAAAGCGAATAGTCGGCTATAAATGCGGAAGTGGACAGGGGCTTAGCCCATCTCCATCTCGGGCACTATTGAAGAACGCATCTGTGCAAGCGATTGGGGGCGTTAAAAAACAGATCAGGTATTGCGAGGCGGAACCCCCCGGGCGGCATGCCGAGATTTAAAAAATTTTCCCCTGCACGAGGACATCATCGTGGAGCATTGCTGGCCGTGGCAGAAAGCGAGCGGCCTTTGAAGATAGACATCACCGGTGTTGTTCGAGTCGTCGGCCAAGTCGGAGAAATGGCCTAATTGGCATGCATTTGCCTACACTGGCCGAGCTGATATGCAACGTCTAGGCCGAGACCCCGATAAATAGACGGTGCTATAGGTGGCGAAAGCCAAATATTCAGTATTGGGGCGAAGGGCTTTTTCTTATTATTAGCAATTCCTTGGCTTCATATTCCCTGCTGGTTTTAATTTAGCACTCTGCTCGACTGCCGCCTATGTACCGTGCATTTATCATTCAACGGGCGTGGCCAAGGCGGAGGCCTAAGTATCCACGGTGGGATTATGGGGCATGTAGACGTGCTTCGGCACAAGGCTGAAAATGAACGAGGTGAAACGCATTTGTCTCTAAATATGCGTTACGTATATACGTCAGTGAACCAAGACGTTAGTTGGCCGGAGGGGTCAAAGTAGGGCGACCAGATGAACCCACCAAGCTGCAAGAAGCAAGATTGACCGACGACTAGTTGATATTATGTCACAGGACGTCGATTTGCCGTTCACTACCGGCAGTAATTTGTTTCGTACACTGTGACATGACAGATCAGTAATGTGTGTAGTAGTCAATCGTGGAAAGCAATCTGGCCTTGGCGAGCGTATCAGTCATGAAATCTGCAATTTTGATTTGCGGGCGTCGAGTAATACTCGATGCGCGCACACGGGGCCGACTGAGGTTTAGCGAAGTCCGCCAGCCACAAAATTCCAAAAGTACAAAAATACAAGATACAAATTACAAATTGCAAAAATACAAAAATCGAACGAACGAACGAACGACATACCTGTAGTGGTGGTGGGGGCGTGCAGCTTAGCACAGGCAGGATATAGCTTGTTACGACAAGCCAGTGTAAATTAGTTATTGAGAGCGAAAACAACTGAGAAAGCAATCACAGTCGGCGTGGCAGTATCGGACGCACGACTGCCATAGACGAGATGGAAAGGCTGGTAGCACTGGACTCGGACGACGAATGGGGCCTCTCAACGACCATGCACATCCCCAAAAGTCATCATGAGGCGCGACAGAGGCTGCCTACCGGCAAGCAGAAAAGGCAGATCCCGATCAGTACCAGGCGATCCCCCCACCAGGATGATGAGCAGAAAGCACGGCGGATAGTGTTGTGCTGGCAGCCCCCTTCCCCCATATTTGTTAGTATGGCTCGGCTCCTCTCGTGTTTTCTCCTTCCTGATCAGCGTCAAGCGTCTGGATTTGGGCCGGGAGATGAACGTCGGCAACTGTCAACCGCTGCCCATCTCAGTTGGGGCCCGTTGTGGGCGAGCCAAGCCTCGAGAGGGTAATGCCTAATAAGTTTCTGGGAACTGCCCATCGTGGTCCATTAGGAAGCCTGCCACCAGCGTGTTTGCGGGACTTGCATGTAACTGCGGCCAGTGGATTGGCGCGTGGACGGGCGAGCGAATGATGATGGCTAGATAGTAGTTACTGTCCTTTCTCGTACCGCATACGGGCTTGCAGAGGCGTGCAGAACAGCGGGTATCCAGCTCCAGAGACCCGTGCAAGCGTGGAACCCGGAGCTGCGAGCCATGCTTGGCCCAGCGAAAACAAGGTGCCCCCGGCGTTGCAGCGAAAAAAGGATGCTTATGAAAGAAGCTAAACAACAAGAGTGCTTGCTTGATTAGAGAAAGGGGGGCCACTAGTTAGAGTAGGGCAGCAAGCGTAAGAATTTGGAGGCGTGAGGTAGGACGGCGGCGGCGGCGGCGGCGGGCAGGGGCCTAATAACGGGGATTGTGACAGCGGTTTCGTGTATCTGTATCTGTATGTGTGTACGGAGTATTTGGCGGAAGAGAAAAAGCCCGGCTTTGGCTGCACCTATCTATCGAGCGTGTGGGCGGACTCGAGAAGGGTGAGATTGAAGATGAAAATGGACGCAAACGGGCTCAAATCTGGAGGAGTAACGTTGGCTCGAGGTCGGTGCTGGAAGCTGGCAGAAACTGCAAACAAGCTTTCTTGTTTTCTTTTTCAATTCGTAATTTTTTAATTTATTGCTTTTGCGGCAGCTGGCAGCTGCAGACTGGCAGCTGCCAGGTAGACGCTTGAGTGTGGCAGGCAAACGGATCGAATTGCGGGGCTGACTCAGCTTGTCAACCATCGTGCTCTTGATCTTCATCTTGGCTCTTTCTTCTTGATCCTTGTTGGAAGCTTGCTTCTACACCTAGTCCGAGACAGTCATCATTCACCAGTCATCGAACCGCACGGTATTGCCCAATCGCGTATTGAAACCCGTCTCTATCGCTCGCACACCATCCATGGCCTTCTGCCCGCCGCACCTCACTCATCTTTTGGCGTGAGCTTTTGGCGCACAATCTCCATTATCACGCACGCCGTTTTGGCGGAGCCAACATCTATCTACGCCTAGCGCACTAACCCGGCTCGGCAGAATCGAGAGAGGCTTGCTCATCCAACTGTTAATCTGGGGACTTTTCTTTTTTTTTTTTTTTTTTTTTCCTCTCTTTCCTTCTCAAAAGTCTTGTTGTGGCCGCACGGTTACCGCACCCCTCCCCCTGCGGGCGAGTCCCACCGCCACAAGTCCAGGGTCAGCCGGACAAACCCTGAATCCCGGACATGCCAATGTTTCCTTCACCTTGGCTCTCTGCTGCCCAGCGGGTTGCGGACATCGCTTCCCACGCAAGGGGTGGAGGTGTCGCCCGCGGGGCCCTTGAGGGCCGTCATGTCATCGGCGGGCAACGCCTGCAGCCCGCAGAGCCGCCCCGGTCCTGAACCTGGTATTATCTCGCAAAGCGCGGAGGCTGAGCCTGGCCGCAGGACACATCTGGCAGCTAATTTGGCCAAGTCTTGTGGTGGATTAACTGCCTGTTGTGCTCCTGCCGCTGCCGTCGAGGTATTGCTAACTAGTGGTAGGTTTTGAAGCATTTCTCCGCTGACTGGTACGGATACACGCCCGCTTCTATCTGTGCGGCTAGGCCGGGCTGGGCGTGTCGTCAAAACGGACCCGGACAACTAGGAGGAGTGCAGATAGTTGGATCCCTAGTGCAGGATTGTTAACGTGGGGGGGCGTGTCAAGCTCAACTTGTAAGAGATCCAGGCTGCCGCTTGGGAATAGCTCGCCCTGGCCGGGTACCGCTAGAGGGGTCGAGGATTTGGCTGAGCATGTCTATTCCAGGCCGTGTTTCTGGCAGACTTTCACCACGTTTCACTCCCACCTGGCAGTTTCCCCCGGACCACCTTTTAAACAGTCTCTAGCTATACCCCACTGACTCATCTCAACTCCCTCGTCCTGGCCAGAGACTTTATTTATGGCAGGCCCCTCGTTCCTCTTGTCCTGGTTCCATCGCGTACACTTACTTATACACCCGCACCTCCCACGCCCATTCACTCTTGTCACCTCTCTCTTGTACACTTCAGTCCAATTCACCTTGCCAACCGCATCACCTATATACACTTACGCACAAAAGAGACAACAACTTACTGTCACCCTCTACGACTACCCGTTACTTGACGGATATGCCCTCTGCAACGGCATTAGAAACAAGTGACAGTTCTCGTCAGCACAAAAAGACCATGTCTTCCATCTCCAGCACATCTTCCGCCGGCGCCCAGCCCCGGAGCAGCCAATCACCACCCGCAGCCATGAATCGCGAAACTACCCCAGAGTCTCTCGTGGACGCTGACCAAAAAACCAAAAAGAGAATTCAGAACAGAGTTGCCCAGAGAACATACCGTGAGTTTGCATCATCAACTTGCAGCGGCCTCTGTGGGCTGTTTCACTAATCACGAAACGACAGGCAACCGCATGAAGCAACGGGTGCAGGACCTCGAGCAGCAGCTTTGTGAGATGCGTGCTAGACAACAACAGCAGCAGTACTACCCCCAGGACATGCCTGGTGCCGTCACGCCTGACGGCTCCATGGGTTTTGTTCCCAATGCTGGAAACATGCCCCCCGCCCTTTGGCAGCAAACCATGTCCCTCCCAAGAACTCCAGGCTCGATGCCTCAGGAGATGTGGTCTGGCATGGCCGTTGATGGCGCCGCTCAGCCTATGCCTGATGCAGTCTCCATGGCTGGAAACCCCTACATGAACCGAAACTTTCACCAGCAGCCTCCCTTCAACAACCCGGCTCTGTTGAATCATGCTGCCGCCAGCCTTGATCAGGTGCCACTAATGTCTCCCAGTCTGGAGATGCCAGGTGAACCTGCCATGCAGAGATTATACCGCAACGGCAGCGCCGCATCGACTCCCAATCAAGAATCGCTTCAACTGGACGCCCATTTCGGGTACAGAGGAAGCGTGACCGGTCTCGGTATGTTGCCACCGCCAAGCGCCACATGCATACTATGCTAATCCTAGTCCCGAAAGGCCAAGCCTCTGAAATCTCCGAAGAAGATGGAAACGATAGCAAGCTCTTCAACAACCCCACATGGGAAAATAGTCCAGCCATGATGTCGCCTACCAGCTCAAGAACCGGAACTGTGGCTCCTCAGAGCGCCATTTCCACATCGCCATGGGGCTCCATTGCTACTGCTGCTACTGAAGTCTCAGAGGCTGGGTCACCACACCAGTTCTCGAGTATCGAAGAGCGTTTCGAATACGTTCTGGAGTGCGCCCGCCGCGTCGGATTCGACACGTTTGACTCAATGGCTGCTCAATACTATGGCAGCAGCTTCGACCCTTGCTCCTCACTGGCCATGGACCAACGTCTGAGCCGCAACCGCCACCTTCCTGCTTTGCTCGCCGAGATTCGGCAGAAGTCTGCTCAATGGAGCGTGTGGGAGAGACGTGCGTACCAAGACGAGGCGCTCAAGACGGCAGAGGATATTTGCGCCATCGAGTGTCGCGAATTCCGATCTATGCAGGATCTGGGCGATGCCAACGCCATGAACCTAGCCACTATCCAGCAAAAAGTAGGTCTATTTTCAGCCTAGCTCGGGCCGTGAAGCTCTTGTTCACTGAGACGCTAACCGAGACTTGTTCCAGCTACCCAACGTGTGGACACTGTTGTCTGGCCTAGCCTCTGCCACACCGCTGCAAAGGCAGGGTGACCGCTCACATCTCGTCTACAACAGCATCAAGCAGCTCTGTGCGCTGGGTGATGCATCTAGTCATATGGCTGTGGATAGCCAGTGAAACCGTTTCTCTGCAAGGTATGTCCATTTCATCGTTGGGCTCGTCTTGTGCCTGTACTAACAGAGAGCAGTTTCTTTGCCTTTATTCTTACTCTCTTGTTTGCAATTTTTATTGATTGTAGAAACGGAGTTGGGGCTTTTTCTCACGATACGTATCTCTTGCGTTGTCGTCTCTTTAGAATTGGGCAAACAGATATGCCAAGGCACGGCGTTAGAGCGTGACAATGCTCCGCATAGGCGTTTTTGGGGCTGAACCTGGCTGGGTTCATGACTTGGGTACTGTAAAGACTTTTTCAGCACAGTTTTGATTTTGATTGTACATAGATTTAGTCTCGTGGTGTGCCAAGCATTGACTACTTGCTGCCACGTAACATACAAATTTGAAGCACATGATGCATGAACAAAAGCAAAAAGCCACCGTATGTGCAGACGTAGCGCCGATGATCTCGGCACCTGCTCCCACCCCTTGAAGGTTGCCACAAATCATCAGAATTGTGATGATGCCGATCAAGGTAGTGACTGGCAAGCTGTGGTCGGACGACGTTGCTCGAACAACCATGTCCCAAACAAGAAACTGGGGTAGCATGGTGGTGGGCGGAGTAGCGTTACAGTGTTGACAGAGATGCCGGAGAAGAGGATTATGCGATGGCCACTTGCAGTACGAATTGGGCAATGTAGTCTCGGTTGACAGAAGAGAATTGGAAGCTGAAAGAAGGACGCAACCCTATCCATGATGGCCTTTTACGATGCTCACCAGTCAAAACGTAACCATGACGGTATCGCTAGGTGACACTGGAAACGACAATTCCCGGCGCCTCCGATTCACGGACGGCGTAAGATGGAGGCATATGTTGAAATGTCGAGATGACAAGATATACTGGAAGGAGCCAAACAGTTCTCACGTCAGAACCAAAACTGACCCCGGCGAACCCTACCCCTAGACCTTGAACAAATTGGCGGGCTTAGATGAGCATGGTTACGTGCAAGCGTAATAATAGGCAATGTCAGAGAAGTTTTGAGCGTTTGAAATTTGCGACGCATACTTTGGGAAGCAATCAGCTGTTGCACCATCGTCACCGTTGTCGATCCCCTTTGCTTCCTTTTCCATGTAGTCAACCGTTGATGGATTTTTTTTTTTTGGATCTTTTGTTCCGATCCTTTCTTCCCGTTCCCCTTCCGCCCCCCCCCCCGTCGAACCTTGTTTGCGCGCACCCTGTGCCCCTCCCCCCATCGTCATAACCTATGTGGCTTGCTACTGTCAACGCCAAACATTTAAAAAAAAAAACGGCGCATGGATGAAATACGGATAGATTGGCGGTGTTTTTTTTTTTTTTCTAGGGCGGTGGGAATGGAGATGGGGGTCGCTAAGAAAAAAAATAAGCCAAATCAGCACCACAAAACAAGGCCCCTTCTAATATGGTGGACTGGATCGGAAACCTGGTCGGGAACCGCAAACCATTGGTGGCTTTCGATTTTTATCTCGGCGTAAGCATATTCTAGGCCTAAAACGTGCCACACACACCCCCCTCTTCCCCTCCCCTCCCCCTCCCCTCCCCCCTCACACACCAGTGACACTCGCCCAGTGACCACTAGCCGGGGGCGAGCCAGCCAATCTGTCTGTCACTGGACCGATCAAGCAAGCCCCCCTACAAAGAGATATGACAGTCAGCTTGGGGAGCAGATAGGTTTAGTTGGTGGGGAGCCGACACCCCTGAGGCTGAGACGAACAGGGAGGTTTCTTACTTTTTAATCCCCTGGCAACGAGGAAGCAGACGGGCAGGATTTTGAGCAGGCGTGAGATTTTTTTTTTTGGTGTAATCTTGCCCGGGCTTCATTGTGGCTTGAGGCGTGCGATAGGCTTCCGTTGGGCCGGGTTGCGCCACGGAGTCCCGGCCGGCTAACGTTGATAACTATGAACAGGCAGGCAATTATTAATGTCGTTTACGTCTTTTCAATGGCAGGAACGAACAAATGGAGCCAAAATCCTTCCAAAAATAAAAAATAGTTGTCGTCAAAAAGCTGAGCCTGCATAATATTGCTGGCCCATTTCCCTGCACGACACGCAGAGGGCGCGCGCGCGCCCGGCGCCGGACGGTCCGCCCGCAACCAGATGTCCGATGATCTTACAGACAAAAGAGATGGCGCTGCCTGGGCAGCCCATGGATACCCTTGCGAGTCCCGCGTCATCTCCCCTCCCCCAGGGGAGGGGGTCAAGCTTTTTTTTGAATGACTCGTTCGTTTAACCAACCAAAGCAAGCCAGTCATCAGTGCATATTATCTGAGAACGCCCGCCCCCCGGACCAATGCCGGATGGAGTCTGTCCCGGAAAAGGGCATGTGCATTTTGGGCTTGATGAACAACAAATCTCGATGGTACAAAAGCAAAGCTTCGCGTTGAGGTTGAAATAAGCGCCAAGAACAAGTTCTAGATTAAACACAGCGCAGAGCCGCCTTCAATATACGTAATCAGCGGCGCAATCCTGCATTGATTATTCGCTGGTGCGCTATCATAGACTGGAATGGTGTGCACACCAGGCAGGGCCAGGCAGCCAAAAGCTTCTCTCTCTGGCCCATGGATGTTAGTTAGTAGGTAGGTACCAAGAAAAGAGGCGCTCGTCGGGCGCGCTCTGGCTGCCGGCGCTGGTGGCGTTGCTGTCAGACTAATGCGTAGATAGACGAGCTACGGATAACTCTATCTTGCCCGCTTTCTATTGTTTATCTGACCATGTTCGCTTTTCGACGCACCACAGGGATCGGGATGTTTGTTTGTTATGGAACCAAAAACTTGTTCATGACTTGCCCTACTAGCTAGCGTGGGCGGTTATGCCCTTCTGAGAGTACCTACCTATTTAGTAGCCTTTTTTTCTCCCACTGAATCTACAGATACACTGTCGTAAACTAGCCCTGCGGCCCGGTAAGCTTAAACTGTAAAAGCTCGGAAACTTAAATCGCAAGCCAACCATGTGCCTGCCCGCAAATACAGGGTCCCTGAAAATCACTTGACATTTGCCACCCTTTTGTTTTTTTCTTTCCAGTTGATTGCGTTTTTTTTTTTCTCCTGCACGGCGACTCAAGAGGGTAACAACGTCTCTCCGTGAATCTAACCACCCCTCTCCAAACTTGTTGTTTTTTTCTAGGGTAGTACTACTCCCGTTACATCTACTCGTTTTCTTTTTTTTTTTCCTCGAAAAAAAGCTTGGCAAGAGGAAGAGCCGAGACTGCTTTGTGAAGGAGCGCATCGCGCTCCGTGATTAGTCGGTTTTTTATTTTCCTCAGCGTCGCAGCGACGACCCAGGAATGCAGTCAGTCTCCCCGCCCCGAGTTGCGTTGCATTGCGCCCAGCCGCTACCGCGCAGCACGGGCAACCCAGTGCGCACCGCCCATGCAAGCCTTTACGCTTCTTCCCACCCCAAAATCTTTAAACTAAAGCTTGTTGCGATGCGATGCGTCAGCTGAAAAAGGTTCAACAACAATTTGATGGAGTGCGCGCCGAAAAGGAAAACTGGAGGTGGAGCAAGACGGCCAAGACTTGACTCGTTCGTTCATCGTCGCTGCGTCTTGACATGATGGCTTACTTGATCGTGGACCGACGTCGAACGAACGAATATGAGAGAGAGAGAGAGAAGTGTGACAACTGGCCCGGTGGCCGCCGGACCTCGATCCATCCATCGCGGCCCCTCTCTCCCTTGGGACCCTCCCCCAAAATCTTGTTGAGCACGCGGTCTGTCTGGAATTGCCGGTTTCGCAGATGGCGCCTCCACGCCCCGAGTCCATGATGAAGTTGCCAGCGAGCATGGTTCCCACTGCCGACCCCCCGTGCGGTTACTTGAGACAAAAGCTTGTCAGTGGCTTTGCTGCCTCGCTCTACCAAGGAGGAATAAGTCGTCATCGGCAGTCATTTTAAGCTTGTTTTCTTTTCCTCGGCGCTGCTGACTGCATACAGCAGGGCCGTTGCTCCCTCTTGGCAAACACAACACCAGACAAAAGAACAAGACGTCATCGCGATTGCGTGCCGGGCGAAACAAAAGCACCGAAAACAAGAGAGCACCGTTGGGATTCAACCATTGGCTCCGGTCCATTTCTGTGATTGATTGCCCCATTCGTCTCGTTTAACAGAGAGACAATATACGCCCCTGTCAGCTGTGATGCAAGCCAAGGTCAAAGCCTCTCTTTCTTCTCGCGGTTCGCTTGGCACTATTAATCTATGCAGCAAAGAATGTGCACGGGGAATTTGCTCAGAGGGTTAAAAAAAAAAGGAAATGTTCCACACCTGGGGGGGGGGGGGGGGGGAAACACTCAATCAATCCGTGCAACCCCCCCTCCCTCCCCTGCAGGATTGACAAATGGGTTGTTGCGTGTGCAGATAGATGGTGGCGGCGCGCAAAAAGCGACTGTGCGGGCCGACTCCACGAGAAACTAGAAGCCTGTTGGAGAGGGAGGGGGTGTGTACCGCGGACAACGAGGCGGAACCGGCATCTAACTATATCGATTCATCATTGTGCATTATTGGATGCAAGATGCGTTCGATATAGTCGAACCGCTTGCCAAGTTTAGCCGGCTTGGCTAGATGGTATGGCAACGGTGCAACCACGGTGAGGCTTCCAGCTGGCCGACGGACATTTATGTATGCCTGCGAATGGCAAAGGATTTGGTGCATGCTCTTTCCGTTTGAGAGAAAGTAATCATGATGGACTTGTTTTTGTCAGCGATTCATTTGCGTTTTGCGCCCGCAGGACTAGCGAAAACCATATCTTTGACAGCAGCATAGCATCTGTGTTAGCTGCCTGCACCCATCCATCTCTTGGCCAAAAAGGTCTCGGCGATTGCTGCTAGAATAGACATAGCCTACCCGTGTCATGCGCCAGAGTCTAGATCACGGCCAAGAAAGGCAACGTAACCAGTTAGTTGCGTGAAAAAAATCAGTAAAAATTAAAAGGGGAATTTAAAAATAATAATAATAATAATGAGAGAAGAGCTACCGTAACGCTGGCCCCATCCGCCCGCCCTCCCAGCTTTCCCAAATTGCCACAACGGCGCTGCTCTCTTCCAACAAAGTCCATACGCAATTTCACGCCCACCTTGTGTGTGTGAACCGAAAGAAAACTTGTTGATGGCGGAATACCCCCACCAAACCACCTTCGTGGGTGTTCGTTTGACACCCTTTTTGTTTTTTTTCTTCTTCAACCGCAATATCCACACGCCCAGGGGCGGAGGGGGGGCGCTTTCCGCGGATGCTGATCCGCAAGTCAGTCTATGTTGTTGCCCAGGCCATAATATGGCAAACGAAAAAAAAGTTATCGTTGGCGAAAGCCGCCGAGGGTGGCTTACAAAGTGCAATTCAAGACGCAGCTATTGGCGCGCTCGTTTGAAACGGGGGGGCTTCCAATGGAAGAAGAAGAAAAAGAAGTAAAAAAGTCACCCTTTGTGTCCATCTTACTTTGTAATTCCCGGTTGCAGCTTTCTTCACCCGTTTCCCCCTCCCCCCCATGTGGCCCATGATTGTGCATGTTCATGACTGGCTAGGTTGTCTCTATTGCCAAACGAGCCAAAAATGGGTGGGTAAATTTTTTAGTCCATCTTTTTTTTTTTTACCAAAGATCATTCAGCCTTTTTTTTTTTTTTTTTTTTTTTTTCTTTGTGTGGGCTCCTTATCTAAATGGCTTTTTGCGTTACATGGCCGCGTGGCACCCTTCACTCACCGGAATCGCTGAACACGAGACAGGAAGGTCGGTACAATCTAATTTTCTAGTAGAGTTAAGCGTATCAAAAAGCTTACGAAGCACACAGCTCATCTATCCCTATCGCTAAACTAGACGAACGCACCGCCAAGGTTTCCTGTTTCAACTCTCGGCGCGGAGAAACGCAAGCGTGGAGGTGGGGGAGAAGGGGGAAAAGGGCCAGCGAGGGAATGGACGCAAGAAGGGGGGGTGTTGTTCTTGGCGATGGTAACCCATGGTTAGTTAGTTATTTAGTGTAACATAGGAAGCCGAGATGTTTAATTTAATGCCTTCTTGGTGTTCCAGCGGGGTTCGCTGCATTCGTCTTGGCGAGGCGAATGGAGCATCTTGGCCATATAAACACTATAAAACAACTCTTGATTGAGATGTGCCGGAACTCACATGTATCGGCCTAGTCAGTTTTGCACCCCCTCCTTCTCCCCCATATTGAGAGGCGGAGGGCACCGAGGAATAGCTGCTGGCACGCCTCCAATACGTAGCGAGGTTTTATTGCTTTCCCCTTCGCTATATGTAAGTCGAATCTCCGTGATATTACATTGGGGGTCAAACTGCATCAGCTGAGTCGGGTCTCGACAAGGTGGTGGCAATAACCGTTAACCCCCCCCTCGACTATAAACGTGGAATGTCTTAACAAAGGTAGGCCATAGCATATTGAAACGGCGCGGGTCGAGCGAACGGCTACCGGGCTTTTGCACCAGGGACGACGATGCGGCATTCGCAACCTGCTGACTGCAGCGGAAAATTTGATTACCGCTTCCAAAATAGCATCTATATTTAAAACCATTCCATGCAATTTGGGGTAAAATATCAGTTCTGAATCAGTCGTCAAGATTTAACTCTCCACTTCTTGTTCTGGCTCGGCCGATCGAATACCTTTGGTGGCGCGAGTTTGTGCCCATCTCGTGACCTCCCCCCCGCTTGGGCGGCCGGCTCCGTGAAGGCCTGGGGATCAAAAACATATTGATGCAGTATTGAAGCTTTTTGTTTCTTTTTCATGTCTCTACATAGTTATTCAAAATCATAGTTTTCGGATCGAAAGATGGGAAGATGGGAAGAAGAAAGTCTCCGGTCTGGACCCATGCCTCCTCGTATCGGCGGCCTTTGCCCGCCCCTCCCGAGTGTCCGTGCCCAAGAGGCCAATTGTGGGAAATGTAGCCTTGCACAAGTCGTGTCTCCGATTTCAACAGCCTTTAGCGAGATTCGCATTTGGCTCTTGGACCTTGTTTAGGCTCAATTCGATCCAATCGCGCGCCCTCGCGCGGGGGACCAAGTCATAAGGCCACGCGTCGCTCAACAACCTCGTACGTGGGTGGAGCATATTCTTTTTTTGCAATTGTATTTAGACTTTGAACTAGTCAATGGCACCGTTGTAGTTGATGATGTTTGACATGGAGAGGTTTTGAAATGCGTGATGGGGGCAGGCGGGAGGCCAACATAACGTACCCGCAAGGGACCCTACGCTAGAATCGCTTATCAATCAGCCCGATGCTGAAGCCACTCGCTGGCCCCCAAAGGACATGTTGAAAGGGAGTTAAGAAAAGAGCGTTGGTTAAGATCCCCGGATAGGTGTTTTGTTCTTTTGATAGCAGGTGGTGATTTGCCATGGCGAACTAGAGGACGGCGGAGGCTGTTTGGTCGAGAGACTGACTGAGTGAAAGACTGACGTACAACTGTTGAGCAACAAGGCAACCTTGTCTTTAAGATTTTGGTTGGAAACAAGTTGGTCCAATACTAATTGGCAAGTGTGAGATGACGGTATATACGAGCAGTACAATAAGATAGTATAAAGCCTCTGTCTACTACACTACGTCAAATCCTATACACCAAGCCTTCAGAGAACGTTTGTCTGACATTTATTGAATAATCAAAACAACCAAAACTTCTATCAAGTCTACAGACTATATAGTAAAAGAGGCTATAGTAAATAATGTTTGCCGCAATACGAGGAGAGTATCGAGTACAGGAAAAGGACTTGAGTCAATTCAACCACGACCATGCAAGCAGTATACTATCAATACAATGATAGTATAACACTAATGTACCACACACGCCTGCTCTTGCTAGAAACTTATCATCATATACTCAATTCGAAAACATGAGGGTACTTGATAGTATGCGACCTCAAACGAAATGTGGTAGCGGCATCTGCTGTCTGAGAACTTGCACGCACTCCTGTATAGACATACAACTACATGACTGTTTACAAGATTCTTGTGTGGTGCCGCAATCAGATATCAATCAGGAAAGAAAGCGCTGAAAGAAACGAGCACCCCTAATTCATACTTGTCGATGAAAGCCATATTCCATTCAAGCCCGTCCAAGTGGTGCGTGTCCCTAAGAAGGTGTACAGGGTAGAGTATAAAGTAGCATCATGTTTATTTCAAGAAAATTATTATTACCATCATATCATAAGAATATTTTATCCCCGTACATTGCCTTATCGAGAAGCATAGCTTCTCCTAGAACCCATACCGCCGCTCACGGCCGCTCCATACTCCCTTGACCAGTCCCCCATATGACAAGCACGAAAAAAGGAACAAGACCAAGACGCAAAAAAACAAGAAAAAAAATGGATTGGACTCCAAGAAAGTATCGCCAAGTATAAAAATGTAAAGAAATGGAAAACGAAATCAGAGTTTGGGGTATAATGCCTGTTTCTCAAGAGAGACAACAGAAGCATGAGCGAACAGGAGGTATTGCACAGTGCAAAGTCAAAAGTGCATCACCCAGAATTGATCTCTAGGGGTTCTTGGAAACCGTGATCCATGTGCTCATTCACACAGAAAAATAATGGCAGCGAGGAGATGCCATGTTTTTTTAAGGTGTGGGAATGTTCAACGACCAAAACACACAAAATTCTGGCGTGTCGAAATGCAGCGTCATGCGCGCTTGATAGGGTGTAAATCGCCTAGAGGCTGCGACATAGATTCCATCCATTCTCGATAGCCAGACAGAAAGGAGAGCAATCGCATATATGGCGACAGAAAGCATTTGCATACATGGCGACGCGCGCATGTGTTTTGTGCTCTGATGATGGTTGCAATCATGTTGGCCTACGCCCGTTCGAATGAGGAAACGGGTAGGCTGCTATCGTTGCTCTGATTGGCCGCATTGACACCCGCCTGAATGCATCGCGCGACGCGCCAATTATCATGAGCGTTGTGCGCACTCTATACAAAAAGAAGGGAAAAAAAAGGTCACCTGCTCATGACGAGCACTCTGCTTTTTTTTGTGTCTTTTTCGCGCTTGACGAAATTCAATCCTTGCCAACCAAAGGCAACGCCAAAAAGAAAAAAAAAAGGGAGGAAACAAAAAAAGAAGAAAAAAAAAAATTGCCACGACTAGCTTATACGCGAGGTGAGGCAAGAGTCCTTTGCACGGGGCTTCTAGTTAGACACGAGAACTGCCATCGCTATACCCAGCGCCATTGTACATTGGTGGCGCGGCGTGGCCGTGCTGCGACGACAGCCCCGAGTAACTCTCCGCATAGCTTGCCGGCGTGGCTTCCCACCTGGGCGGGGTGGCGGCAGACGGGTGATGGCTAATGGGCGTGTGCAGTCCACTATGGCCGTAGCTGCCCGTCGACACTGTCCTGCTGTCATATGTGCTGACGGCGGGGAGAACGCTGGTGTTGATGCGCATGGGCGGCGGCGGCTGGTGGTGAGGGCTGTGGTTGCGCATGCCGCCGGGGCTCAACGCGCGGCCGACGCTGGGGTACGACGCCGTGGTATACGGTGTCCAGCTGGGCTGCGAGCCGGAAAGCGATCGCGGCGAGGGAATGGCATCGTGGTGGCTCGGAGCAATCGAGTATTGGCTGTGCGCGCCAGCATCGCCGTGATGCGACGACATGCTCGAGTGCGGCGCCATGTGCGAGGCCGGCGATGGTGCGTACGGGCCGCCGCCGCCGCCTGGGTTCATGGAGCCATTCATGCTTGGTTGAGACATTTGGCTGCTGGGACTCGCGCTATACTTGCCGATAATCTTCTTGAGCGCTCCCTCAAGCACCTTCCATGGAAAGACCTTGACGTCCTTTTCAATGTTTCGCGGCTTCGGGTTGGGAAAGCCCATGATGAGCTTGAAGAACTCTTCGCTTTCGGGCTTGGCCTTGGAGACTGTCAGAGGGTGGAAGCCCTCGAGGTTTCGGCGGATGCGATTCTTCTCCTCCACGCTGAATCGGTTAGGCGAGGCGACGAGTTGCTCCAGCAGCTGTATAGTATCCACGGATGTGACGTAGCATTCGTTCTTCTCAGCCCAATAAATGCACGAGACGCAAATGCTATTTGGCGGGCGCTCATTTACGGGCACTGGCTGGAACTCGGCCGTCAGAGTAGACCCGGATTGTGTCTTTCGAAAAACGACGATTCGGCGACGATTCTCCCACTCCTCGGTCGTCCAACCATCAATCATGGAATCCAGCGAACCCTTGATCTTCAAGACAGCCTTGGCCGCATAGAGGGAAATGGCAGCATACTGACTGCCAGCGCCGCTTCCACTGGTGATTGTGCTCGTACGAATCAGCGCAGGTGTGTTTGGCGAAGACGCGGGCATCGAGAGGCTGCTTCTTCCGACGCTGTCAAGACCGCCAATGGAGCTCCGGGTGCTGCCCAGAGGAGTGTTAAAGTTCCACCCCAGCGAGCGGCGTCCACTGTAGCTCGAGTCAGCAAAGCTGTTGCTTCTATATGTCGTAATCATGTCGTTGTGAGGTTGAGGAAATGCTGCAGCATAGGGCCCAGGCTGTGAGGAATAATCGTAGCTATTTGTAGAAGTTTCGGTGCCAATGTGACCCTCTCCGGATTTGGGTGAATGGCCTGGCTGATCGACATGCGTGCCGGGTGCGCCCGGCTCGCTCTTTGGCAGCTTGTCGGGTCTCGTGACACCATCTCCGGACCCTTCCACGTATTGAAAGTGCCCGGCAACAGCCCTTGAGATTTCGACGCCCGTGGGATCTTCTATGACTAGTGACAATGGCACGTTGCTCGAGTTGGAGCCCGTGACTAAAAACTGCGGCGCATCGGCGCTGCACGAGTAAATGAAGCCGGAGCTGTCCTGGTTGTCCCTCGCTACATCTTGCATGGAGCATTTGTGCGAACCAAACTGCAGAAAAAAGTATCGAATCTGTGACGACATCGGGAACAGGTCGTAGGGTGCTGAAATCTTGAGGTAAACCTTGGAGCCAAAGCCGCCTGAAGCTGGTTGGCACGAGATGACGGTCAGCTCGGATGGAAGGTACGAGGCGACTGCATTGTTGGAGCCAAAAGCCTGCTGGTTAAGATGAGCAAACTTGTCCGCATGTTGGGTTGAGAATGGTTGCTGGTACGGGTCCAATGCAGCGTCTTGGTATCTCGGTTGATCGTAGCCTAGCAGTGTCTTGTCAGTACTCGCCTTCTTTGTGGTACCCTGAACGCTCGTGAAAACCACAAACGGTTGGCTGGGTATAATTTGCTACGCTTTCCAGCAGTCGCCGTGGTTCATGGTGCGTCATGACTGAAGCAATGAGGCCTATGGAGAAGTCGAGGAGCGTGACATACCAGGTATCGAGGGCATCGAGGGTTTACTGTAAGCCGCCATTTCTTTGAGTAGCTGCTCAAAGGCAGATCTAATTATGCGTGGTAGGAGACGTTTTGTGGCAGTGGAACAGCAACGGACTTGACTCTAGATCGTAGTCCTCTCAAACACTGATGATCTGTCTTGAAGTGTTCTTCTGTTACTTTGGCCAGTTGACGATGCTTGTCAAGTTGTTAGTAATCTTCAGCTGGCAGCCGAGTAGCATTAACAATGGTCGGCAGTCGACACCATGACGGTGTAGACGCAGCATCGTTCACACAAAACTCCTAGGCAGTGGTATGATTCGCGATAAACTCACATTGAGTAGTCCCCAGAGTGAGTTGTCACCCACAAGGGTAGTCGAGAGTCGTGACAGGTGTCGATGAGGGGAAAGAGGATGGAGAATACAAACCGGTGTCTTGGAAAGAAAACGGGCTACACAAACAGTTTAAACCAGGTCTCGACGAGGTCTTGACGGGAGGGGATCGGTTGCACTAATAGTGCTCCCTGGCGTCTAGTGCCTTGGGTTCGGAGATTTGATATGCGACAGCGCAGAGACTACCAAGGTGCAGGTCGAGGCTGGTGCTTGTGCCGTGCAGTGTCGAGCTTCTTGTGATGTCGCGCTAGTTTCTTCTTGCTCTGGAGAGGGACGGGGGGGTGGCTGGGTGAGACAGTGTATGGGTCTTGCGAGCTGGTGATGGGACGGAGCAAGGTCCTACCAGTGGCGGAGAGGGGTTCCGATCCAAAGCAGAGACACTGGCATTCCAAGAAGAGAAGATCAGTAGGCAAAGTCGGGGAGGGGGCTTTCCTCTTCTGCCCAAAAAGCTCTCAAAATGGGGGAGGCGGTGTCTGAAGCAACAAAGATGGTGTGCGGGCCAGGCAGTCACCGTCTCATTGGGGTCCAGGCACAAGTTTCCAACACAGGCAGAAAGTTCCTTGGAGGCTGGTTTCTCTGGGAAGAGGGGGAGGGGGAGGGGGAGGCACGGTCAAAACAAATTGAATAGGTGGAAACGGTCTCTTGTGATGGGATGAAGACAAGGCGGTTCACTAATTGGTAAATAACGACGGGGTCAGCATTCTTTTTTATTCCCCATGGCAGAGTCCGGACGATGCAACGCGACAAGTCCACAAGAGGCAAAGGCTGGCTGCAAAGCGGCAAGGGGAGGATGGAATGGAAATTACCACGGAGATGCTACTCACATTACCAAGATTGGGCGATACGGTGACGGGAGAGATATACTAGTTGCCAGTACAAAGTGGCAACTTGAGGTTAGATGGCTGTCGGCTCGCGGCCCAAAATGCAGTCAGTGGAGTCGAGATGCTGCAAGCGCAAGGCTGTTTTGAAGGGAGGGAGATGAACGTCAGCGACGTAAAGTCATGGTACGGATAGTGTATCTCTGACGAAATTCGCTAAAAGGGAAGCCGTTGCAAGAGGTATCGACGAGATAGGAAACCGGCTTTCCAGGCAGGGCAGCAGGATGGGAGAACAAGGCCAAGTCGGGAACAGCATAGACTGGTTGAAGGCAGTGGAGTCGAAAAAATCCAAGTGAGATTCAGGAGAGTCAACGTCTCGGGCGTTCCCCCCATCCCCTGTGGGTATTCTCGAGGTCGGGTCGAGAAGAGAAGTTATTTGGGAAACACGAGGGGATGCTTTCTTTTGGCAGACACCTTTGGGGATGATGGCGCTATGCAAGTCGTTCTTTTTTAGCTTGCGCCTTTTGGGTCGGGACGGAGGAGGAGGAGGAGGAGGAGGAGGAGGAGGAGGATCCAGTTGGACGTGCACCTAAGACAAGGACGAGCTGCAATGTAGCAATGAACAAGAGAGGGCGGGTTGGTCTTTTTTTAAATGATGAGAAGAGAAGCCCTCTCAGCCCGTGGCCTAATGGCCTAAAATGTTGAGCGCAAACCATATTGCAGGCCTCAGAGGCAACAACAACAAGGCTAGGGTGATGCAAGCCCATCAAGCCCGAGCAGACGAGAGCTGGTCAAGTTATTAGGGCGCCGGTGAACAAATAAAAAAAATAAAAAAAATAAAAAAATGAAAAAAGGAATAAAAAAGCGGACAGACGCCACCAACTTGATCTGGCTCTCATGGGGGAGGGAGGGTGACAAAGGTGTATGTCGCCGTGTCCGAATCACTGCTTTTTTTGCAAAGGCCACTCCTTGTCGTCACTGGGCTTGTCGAATCTTTGGTCGAGTTGCAACATCCCACGCCCTGTCTCCATCTGGTCAGCCAGCCAAAGGTGTGCGCCAGAGCTAGACCAGGCATGGTAGACGACGAAGCCCAGTAAAGTAACATGTACGGCAAGTACGTACATACATGGAAAGGATGGCATGGGCTTGCTGCCGATGATGGTCAGGGCCTAGTGCGGATACGTTTTGGCCCTCTTGGTCGTGGGGGATGGGCCAAAATGTCTAGCCGTGTGCCCGTGTTCCCGCTGGCGCGGCCACCACCGTTGAGATGCGAGATGGTAATGATGGTACTGGTATCCGTGATGATGGATGGGTATGAGCTTTCAGAGGAGGGATGATGCAAGGGTAACTGGAGCAAGGGTTGACAGGCGGACGCCAGACAGGGATATCTTGGCTGGACTTGGCGTAGGTAGCATTTGGGGTGGAAAAGTGGGGATCACAAGGATACTCCCCTCCCCTGCCCTCCCCTCCCAACTGCCCTGTCCCCCCCAGGCTGCAGCTATTTCTTTTTTCTGCCTCTTGCGTTGGCTTTGTAGTTTGTTGCTCAGGTTCATCATGGCCACTAATCAGTTGAGAGCACTAGTTGATGAAAGCCGCTCACGGCAATCCACGATGCCGCTTACACTGGCAAAGGACGCGGCTGCCGGCTGAGCGAAATGTACTAACACTGTGACTCTTCCCTGGGACCGTAAAGAAGCCATTCAAGATGCCCGCCCGTTGGCTCCAGTTGCCCAATATTTGCCCCAGGATGCAAAGCGATCGCTGCGCTAATAACTAGCTTGTCAAGTAGCTAACCGGGCTTGATCTGCCCGGCTCTCCACCCACTCACTGCAAAGCGAAAGACTGACTGGCTAGCCCCGGACAATGTCCAGCCCATCATAGACGATGGGCTACTTTGGTAACAGCGTGAGCTGTGTCTGCCTCGATGAATATACTCGGTACTTGTTGTTCATTTGAGTACTTGGGACTTTGTACATGGATTGAGCAACATGAAAGCATCTGGAACCGATTTTCTAGTCCACGCAATAGGTAGCAGCGCCAGCAAAATCTGTACTTTTCACCAGGCACCCAGGGTAAGCAAGCAACTTGGGCCAAGGAAGCTGGACAAGAGGAGCCACAGCAGGTTATTCGCCGTATCAGACCGGGGGTCGCAGAGAGATCAACAGACATGCTCCACCTGGCGTCCCCTCCCTCCACCGGAGGGAACGGTGGTAGGGGGGCACTGGGGGGGAGGGACAATGTCCAATCTGGTCGTGATTGGGTTTGAAGTGAGGTTTTTTGACTGCAGCCTGCTTGTGGCGTACAGTTGACTGTCGTCGGAATGAACCACGCCTCTAAGCCATCCTATATCAGAGCCGCAGTAAACAAGTGCCACTAGTTGGCGAGCTGAACCAGCTCCCCGGTGCCAGGACCAGGGATATAAACTGACTGCCACATTATTTGTCTGATTTCTATCCGGCACCGATTTGGCAGCCAGAGTGACTTGACGAGTTGTAGGGCAAAAGGAAGGAGGTGCCACTTTTGGTTGCCGCCACGGCTCATCTGTCCGCCCGTCCCGGGGGGGGGAGGAGGAGGCTTTCCAGTTGTGTGGGCCAGCCGTACCCCAAGAAAAGAGTAAAGCTTATTCGTATTATAATAATGTGAAAATGAGTAAAGACTTGTTGCGCCAGATTAGATGCAAAAAGCAGAGGGGAAAAAATCTGAGAGTAGCGCGTGTCGTCGTTGCTTTTGCATTTGCCATGTTGCTCTCTGGCAGGCATGATGACAACGGAATTGGCCCGTGTGCAACAAAAAAGCGTGACCGTAATCTTGAGCCGCTGTCAAGGTTTTCCTTTTCTTTCTTTTTCTTTTCCTCTTTTTCCCCTCTTCTTTACTTTTTTTGTTATTTGCTTTTTCCTTGTAGGCAAATACAAGAAAGGGGCGTGAAAAGCAGAGGCTATGCAATAATAAGAAAAAAAAAAGGAAGAAAAAGAAAAACGTGCGCAACTGCGAAATTAAAATCGAATTTTACCCAGTCCGCTGTATTCTCCACTCTTCAAGCCACAAGTTTGTTCTGATTGTGACAAGCGCTGAGAACAAGTTTTCTGTGTTGAGATTGCGGCCCGCCTTGCGGTGATTTGATGAGGCCCATTCATTGCCCATTGTGTACATACGAATACTCCATATGATGCGCAACTTGAAGTCTCATCAACTACCGACGATCGGGAACGCGCTTCATTATTTCGGGGTGAGCGGCCTTGCCCCATCATTCAGGCAGTGCAGGTGTGTATGTATGTATGCAGGTGGTGTTAATCCCGAGATCAGCAGACCTTGCAGAAGCCACAGCGCACAGCGCCAGCAGTGCCCCCGGATGCCTTTTTTTTTCTCTTTATTTCTCTCTCTCTCTCTCTCTTTCTCCATTGTTTTTTTTTCCCTCTCGGTCTGAACAGGGAACTGTCATTTTTGAGATGGCATGATTTGTCCCACAGATCTGATTGGGAGACTGAGACAGACTTGGGAGGTGCCTTGACCCCAGAAAAAAAAAGCAGGTGTTAGATTGATGGCGCGCCATGAGAGTGCTGCTTAATTAGCCCCCAGCTTTTGTCGGTAATCGCAGCCATGGGTGACATCTTCTTCAGGACTTTGCATTTTCCGTGTACCACTCACTGGTGGCTACCTGTTGGCACCGCCACTGCATAAGTAGATACATTACGCAAGTGGCAAGGCGCATAAGTTGGAGCATAACACCAGATGAAGCAGGCTGTGTGTGTGTGGCATGCTACACACCCCCAAAGTCGTGAGAAAAAGAAGAAAGGATATCCCGCCTGACCTGACCTTGGGGCTTGCAGAGT